GAAGCTATAGCCCCATTATGCAAATTTATCCGTCTGTCGTTTAGTGGGGAGGCAAATGGCTAAAATTCCAAAGTTGGCTCACCCCGTAAGGTAACCGGTGAACACTATGCTAGATGATATTTTGACCGGTGTTCACTCTGTATGAGTGGGACTCTCCATTTTCCAAAATGGTGGATGCCAATGTTTGATCTTTGTATAACTCGAGCAAAAATGATCCGATTTTGATTAAGTTAAAACGGATCAATTTATTTATCATGAAGGAAACCATAACTTTAACTGCTTTAATCTCCTGAGACACTAGGCTGAGGAAGAAATGTCAAGAATTTACCCCTGTCACAGCTAACCTGCAGACTAAGCGAATTTCCATTTGCCTGATTTGTTTTGAAATTAATTCACTTTAAATAACATTAGATTTAACGAGTACCTAGGTATGCTGCTACAGGGAGGCTAATAAAGTGTAAATGTTAGTAGAATTAATAGCTTAGTATAAATTAATATGTTTACCAAGTTTGATCAAAATATATCTATAAACAAGCAAACTACAAGAGTTGACAATATCCTCCATAAGAATAACATGGGAATTTTAAATTAACACTTTTTGAATTTTCTCCGTAACCAATAAGGGCACAAAAACATTATATACTCAATTATTTGGTTTTTTTTAAGTTCTTTGGAATGGTTTAGAGAGAAGTTGGAAAATCTTTTGCTTTGGGGGCAAAAAATTTTAAAAAATGTCATTTTTACCCCATAAAACCCCCATAAACCCCACTCCCATGGTCCGACCATGCTGGTTCGCGAACTTGTTCGAATAAATGTAAGTTTAAACGTTTAAACTAAATTTAATCAAAACCGGATAAATTTTGCATATATACAAAGATCAAACATTGGCATTCGCCATTTTGGAATATGGAGAGTCCTACTCATACAGAGTGAACACCGGTCAAAATACCATCTCTACTACTATACAATATCATCTAGCATAGTATTTACCGGTTACCTTTCGGGGCGAGCCAACGTTGTTATTTTACATATTTTACTAAATTTTCCTCTCCACTAGTTAACATAATACAATAAACACGAGCTACTTACAATTTTATAACTTCAAATACAGAACAAAAAACAAATGGTAAATTTTTCTTTTCGTCAACAGAAAAATTGTATTAATTAGTCCATTAATTTTATGGAAACGCTGCTAATCACACGCAAGGCGTTGAATCACACGGTATTTTTAGTTATGTTTGTAAACAACAGAAATGTAAACATTGATGACGACTTTGTATAACCTCAAATTATGTGGTTTCATTGTGTAACGATTAGAAGGTTGTTACCACAGTATAATGGAAATAGTTGTTCATCACACGGAGCGAAAATGTCTTTTTGGTACTTAATCGTATTACCACGATCAAGTACCAAAAAGAGCTACTTTCGCACCAATTGATGAAAACTACTATTCTGTGACATATGGTGTTGGTTAGTCTATGGTAATTCGTTCTAGCCTACACTCTCAAACATCTGGTTTATAGAAACCCACCGTGCGTCTGGTAACCTATAATTTTTATGCTATGGGCTGTTATTATTAAATTACCTTACGCTGAAAAGGCTTTAAAGACAAATTGTGAATAAAGTGAATCGGCGAGTTTTGAAAGGTCAGATTTATCCCAGTTTCTCAACAGTTGTTGGTCAACGGCTTATCTGTGTCCAGTGTCCAGACAACAGCGCTTATCTCAGTAACTGGAGCGCAAACTGTTGCGACGGAACAAGTACAGAAGGTGTATGTATAGTACCGTGGCATGGAGTCCCATAGACCCAATGTATGTATAGTACGGTGGCACGGAGTCCCATAGACCCAATGTATGTACAGTACAGTGGCATGGTGTCCCATAGACCCAATGTATGTACAGTACAGTGGCATGGTGTCCCATAGACCCAATGTATGTATAGTACGGTGGCACGGAGTCCCATATACCCAATGTATGTACAGTACAGTGGCGTGGTGTCCCATAGACCCAATGTATGTACAGTACGGTGGCATGGAGTCACATAGACCCAATGTATGTATAGTACAGTGGCATGGAGTCCCATTAACCCAATGTATGTATAGTACAGTGGCATGGAGTCCCATAGACCCAATGTATGTATAGTACGGTGGCATGTGGTCCCATTAACCCAATGTATGTATAGTACAGTGGCATGGAGTCCCATAGACCCAATGTATGTATAGTACGGTGGCATGTGGTCCCATTAACCCAATGTATATATAGTACAGTGGCATGGAGTCCCATAGACCCAATGTATGTATAGTACAGTGGCATGGAGTCCCATAGACCCAATGTATGTACAGTACAGTGGCATGGTGTCCCATAGACCCAATGTATGTACAGTACAGTGGCATGGAGTCCCATAGACCCAATGTATGTATAGTACAGTGGCATAGAGTCCCATAGACCCAATGTATGTATCGTACAGTGGCATGGAGTCCCATAGACCCAGTGTATATAGTACAGTGGCATGGAGTCCCATAGACCCAATATGACCACTATGACAGGCCTGCTATCATAAGTCTAACACTAGGTTTGCTATTTTAAAAATTATATTATTTTGCCTTTCCTCACGTCTTAGTACGCTAAGAACTTTACAGTAACCATCTTACACGTCTAGGCTTCAGGGTCAAGGCGGTGATTCGAAGGATTTGAACCCGGCATCTCATGAAACGAAGCCACACGCTCTACCAATAGCTTACATCACTCCCTAAGTTTCATTGTTAGACCTGTCATTAAATAACTGTAACTGAATATCTGTATCATGGGTTCTGTCAAAGTAACAAAATTAAATAACTTGCTATGCACCTTTTGTTTTTGATTTGCCACAGGTTCAAGGACATTCAATTTTTTTTTTTAAATTCATTATCCATGAATCAGGATATGAAAATAAATTGATAACATAAAACACTTTTAATGCCTTCAGTTGCCGAATTACTTAAGCTGGGTTTTCCTAGGCGCGGAGTCGGCCAGCGGAGAGCGGACAACGGAGAGCGGACTCAGCTTGTCTTAGGTAATTTAATGTTACTGTTTTCCTAGCAGCGGAGCGAAATGCCATGTTAATTTCAATTCCGCTCTCCGTTGTCCGCTCTCCGCTGGCCGACTCCGCGTCTAGGAAAACCCAGCTTAGGATTTACGTCCAACGTATATGTGGAGTTGATGAAAGCAATGAACAGAATAGTTAACAACACAAAACATAAAAATGTAAATAGGCTACAACCTCTATTACTTGTGTATTGATAAACGTTATACAACTTCGTTTAAATGTATAGTGATCAACATAATGTAATGGGCTTTATTTAAGAGAATAAAGTAACACATAACAAAGACTCATTTAGAACAAACAACCATCATATTTCTCATGATACGCAACCTAAGGGGGGAATAGGGCCTATTATAAACCCCACAAAATATTGTTGGCAAAGGAAATAAAAATATTGTCTACATTGTTTTTGTTCTAATACAATTCACAATAGTATACAGTATTCAACAAGTTTTACGTTATCGCCTATATAAAAATATTAAGCTAAATGGTGATTCAACATAGAACTTTATCACCACTGTTGGGAAAAGATGAAAACAAACAAATGTCAAAACTAAAGCTACAAATTTAAGATCCTACCCTCCAATCAAAGGGACGAGCCTCATTTTGAGGGCTTTTCGTGCAGTAACCGAGTATTTCATGGACCTGTAAATATTTTATGGTAGCAACAAACCCATGAAGTGGAGAAAACGGAGATTTGATTAGCGTCATAAAAGACAGGTAAATGTCACTTTCATGCCACAGAAATGCAGCGACAAAAGTTACATCAGCTGTTGAACCCGCTGGGAATAACAGCTGAGGCAAATGTTGCGGCGGAGTTGTATTTTTTCTAAATTATTATCTTAACTTACTCCCACGATCATAATTTTAGGCGGTTGGTCCTATAGTTTCCACCTTGTTTATGTTTCCTAAACTTCTACTGGCGACCTGTTTAATATTTATAGAAAACTACAATATCGACTTAGGCTACATTAATAATTAACCATGATTTTGCCATTGAAAGACATACCGGTATGCTTAACATAGACCTGTGAACGAAATAAGTTTTGGATACAAAACTTACCTTTATAATTTGTACTAGTTGTTCTGTCCGTGCCGGCGTGCCAGCCACGGGAAGAGAACGCAGAGAAGATATGAATTAATTATCACCGCCTTGTCCAATAAAAACTGCTGGTTGATTAAGCGTTGTTCTTGATGTCAATTAATTTTGTCCAAGTCACAAGGAAAAATACTCTACAGATGCGTTTTCCCAGTTAAAACACATAAGGTTCCGTCCAAACTCTATGGTTCTTGTGTCACTTAATTATATACACAACATTTGTCTGCAACATCAATTGCTGTGTTTTAAAAATATATAATACTGAACTAATAGGTAAACAATTCAATAGGTAAATAATTCAACATTATAAAAAACAATGTCACTTCTCTTGACACAATATAGACATAATAGTGAAATAAAAAGGTAAACAAACAAACTGAAACAAAATAATCTAACAGCTGATACATCCAATATTTTAAATGTGATTAAATACAGCCCTTAATTTAAGGTTCCTGACATTGTGCGTTAGGAGAGGGTCTATCGAAAAACTGGGTAGAAAAAGGACCTCATAGATACATCCTGATATACTACACATTATTTAGTGATTTGGCTAGTGTTGTTGGGAGGGTTCACATTAAATTATACTAAAAAGTTTGTCACTGAAAAATGTATGCTAACATAACCCACTGTAGGCCTATTATTCATTGTATTATTCTGTATACAAATAAATAATATGTCGGCCTTAGTCGCTAACAAGACTACAAGATCACGCCACTCATCTCCATTCATGATGATGGGTGGGAGGCTTAAAATACATACTTTGTATGGTCGCCATTTCAATAAAAAGTATAAAGTATTTCTACATGTTATTATTTTACAGATCTCATTACTACTACTGGCAGCTACAACCGTGGTGTCCGCTGGATACTTGAGCCACGGGGGCGGTGGGGGAGGTTATGGAGGTGGCCACGGGGGCGGTGGAGGAGGCTATGGAGGTGGCCATGGGGACGGCGGAGGAAGTTATGGGGGAGGCCACGGGGGCGGCGGCCACGGAGGAGGTCATGGCGACTATGACTACTTTGTAAGTATACATACTAAATCTGGATACACATTTAAATGTAAGAGTTTTACCAATAGCGAAGAAACTATGATTACACTGCGAGTACAATGGTGTTGAAAATCATGTAATTTTCAAACATGTTGTACAAAGTTTGAACACTTTTTATCATTACATCCTCATTTTCCATCTTGAAAAGTAGGCAAACCACCTTAAGTGTAAATACGATCGGAGATGTCAACGATTTAAGCTTATAGCTTAAATAATACATACATCCCACCAAAATTACGATGTTTAATCGTACTAATCATTTTCTGCATCTAGAGCATTGGGCTGTAGATGTTGATGGAAGGTGGATTAGGTAAATTTTGAAGAGGAAGCGGCAAAAAATGTATCCAACTTTCAAAATCAAGTATAATGCAAAAGTGTTTAGCTGAACAACCCAACTAGATGTAGGCCCACTATCTAGTTCAAAAGATAATCATTCATTTTTTGACTTACATATTGGGTCTATGACGCACACTGACAGGCAAAGATGAGTGGAGTATGATTGTTCAATGAATGACAAACAGCTGTTGTTTAAGCCAGGACAATTAATTAAAAGCTCAATGGTCAATGATAGAATTTATTCGAAAATACTTATAAATCGTTAGCAGTTCCGATCATCTTCACTTTTCACATTATATAAAATCAAGGTTAGCTTTCAGCTTTCATAAAATGAAACATACAATTTATACATATTTTCTAGGCACCGGCGCACTACGCGTTCGAGTACGAGGTGCATGACCCTCACAGCCATGACGTCAAGAGCCAGCACGAGACACGGAAGGGGGACGATGTGAAGGGGTTCTACAAGCTGGTGGAGCCTGATGGAACCATCAGGGAGGTGCACTACACAGCTGACAAACACAACGGCTTCAACGCGGTGGTGAAGAAAACAGGACATGCCAAACATCCGGCGGTGTACGGCCACGGAGACGGCGGCCATGGAGGAAGTCATGGGGGCCACGGGGGAAGCTATGGGGGCCACGGGGGAAGTTATGGGGGTCATGGTGGAGGCGGACACTACTAAAACCACGCAAATCCACTGTGTTATCTTTCCACGTTGTTGTTACAGTTGCAATAAAATATGAAAATCACTTAGTGTCTTTGAACCCTATATTTATGCACTAATTTTAAACATAGGGTTAAGGAGGGAGCTATGGGGTCATGGGAATGTTATGGGAGATCATGATGGAGGTAGACACTGCTAGAAAGACACTCTTACACCCACTATGCTACCTTGCAAGTTATAATTAATACTTTCTTATTAAATGGCGACCATACAAAGTAGGTATTTTAGGCCAAATATGAATGGAGATGAGTTTAGGCATATTACATATCTGCATTGAAACGCCAAAAGATAAAACATATTATGAAAGATGACATAAAATTGACAATCTTTTAAGCTCATAGACATCAAATAAAAACTTTGTCATTGTTCCATGCTAATATTCCAGTTACTGCAAAGTATTTAGGTTAACTCACGTGATGTCTCTTGAGTGGCTAAGCTGTGAAAACGCATCGTTTCTCGGGGAAAGTGCTGCCGTGTGATTGACACGCGTGTCATAATACAATGTGTGGTTACCTCACATGACTCGGCGGACACCCGGAACTGGACCACCGGATCACCGGACCAAGGGAACTAACTACGAACCATAGGAATGAGTGGTAACTGGACCAGCGGAAAATTTACCTAGTGATAAATATTCGATAGCAACCACAGTAACAATGGTCAATAGACCAACGAATCAGAAAAGTCGGATCATCCCAAAAATACATCAACTAATTGTCAAATAACTGCGATGATCCAAAATACAAATGTATAATCAAATTGTCATTTATCCGAAGTACCAAACTTGTTTTGGGAGATCATGTTTTACACTCGTGCTGGATGTCCAAGAGAAGATTTTAGCGTAACCATCCTCGTTGGACTTTTACGATGGCTGTTTGGCCGAAATACCACCTCAGCTGTCATCTATAAATGTCTCACATCTACGTCACTTTCATAAATGTCAAGATCGTTTGTAGTAGTAATTATAGATATATCTTTAGGGGTTTCAGTTGGACGGAGCATGAATTAATATAATATACTAACAGTTCTGGAATATACGAGTTAATTCAGCTAAAGCTATAAAATAAATCAAATTGAGTATGGCAAATAAGATCAACCAACAAAACGAAAACCAAGATGCTTACTACATTGCTTACAAGTGGTAATTTATTTTTGTTCATATCATTATCTACTGAGAAACGGGGAGTTTACTATACGTACTTATACAGAACTCGTTCTGAATGCTCGGAGAGAATCGTGAACACAAGCCGTGGGTAACATTCTCTTTGAAATGTTCTAGTCAATACGAAGAATCAAAATATAAATGTAAAACAACTGACTAGATTCTTATACAACCTTAAGAATGTGTTATAAGCCACACCTGTACACGATATTTTCTGATTACCGATTTGACATTTAAGAGAAAACTGTTATTGTTAGAAAACAAAAAATAGACCGCCGCGTCAACCGCATGATGTATTATGAAGGCTTGGAAATAATATTGCGCTTCGAACTGAGGTGGAATGGAGCCTTCCAATCCAGCCCAGAGTTCAAATATAAATAATATACATACGCACAATTTGAAAAGTGTTTACAAGTTTATCGTTATTTCTCTTGTTAGAAACATTTTCTAAAAAATTATTGTAATTAATTACACACTGTCTGTGAAACGTTTAGGAGGGATGATTTAATTATTAGTTTTGGACTGTTGTGGATAATTGCTTAAGTCACTCCTCATATCGAGTTATAACTTGATTTAAATTTCAATGAGTCAATATAAATACTATTTTTTTTCTAGCGAGAAGGACTGTTAGAAAACTTTAATTTTTATTGATAGCCAGATGAGCAATTCAATATCAGGAAAGAATGCAGAAACGTAGCATAAGCTATCCCAACCCTGTTCCATAAATATTTCTAAAGTGTAATGGATGTTAGTTGCCTTTACAATGTTATCACATTAAAGGGGAGGATATTGTGCCTCTAGAAGTCAGAATATTGACGATGCCAGCTCGACCTTAAAGTCAGTTGTTTTTATGGTACGAAACTAAACTCAGCTGGGGTTTTAATAAACCCCAGTCTTTGGCTAAACAAAAGGCTGATCTTAGGCAGAAAACATTTGTCATATCAGTCATTTAACATTCGTTTCCGTCTTAAAATAATCACCTAGTTATGCCGGTGTCGTAAAATTTTAATTTAAACATCAAATAAGTAAATTGATGACTTTATATGTTAATATAAACTCATATAACACATTGATTGTGACGTCACAGCCCCGTCACAAGTGGCAAGACAGAGAGGGCGATAGTTGAAGCATGACAGCTGATGTCTTGTCTTGCCAGAGTCTAGGTGAAGGTCTTTACAGTCCAATGAACCAATACAATATGAAGGGGAAAAAACTGATGCTCAGTTTTATCAATTATCAATTATTGAGATATGGACGCCACTTAGGTGCGTTTTTAACCCAAATAATTATGAGTAAAGGATGAGTTTAGAATGGCGTGAGATGATCGTTGTATCTTTGTTACTGACTAAGATCAGCTGTTTCGTTAGCCAGGAGGATTTATTTAAAGCCCATTGATCAGGAACAGCTGGGTCCTAGGTTATTTTACGGTTATTATCCAAGCAAACAATTCAAATTACTGATACTAATAGTAGATTCCTCTCTAAAATGATTCTTGTTACAGTTTATTATTTTTAACTGCTTTGAGGTATTTTGGGTATAAATATATTTCATGTACCGGTGGTGTTTTACCCTGGATAACATTGACTTGATGATGATGTATCTACAACTTAGAGACGCGTAGTCCATTATAGGAGCAGAGGAATCACTAGGCAGCACCAGGTATTTTAAACTGTTGTATAATATTAAAATTGTGTAACCAAAAAAGTAGGCCGCAATGTGATTTGAGTTTTAAAATTTTTAATTTAGCTTTAGAATCCAATCTATTTAGCTACCTACTCTAGGTTTTGTTCAAAGTAAATTGGTGACGAATTGTGGTCACTATTGAGTCGACGCACGATAGTGACCTACGGGAAAGATAGGTCTTTACATTTTCTGCTAATCAAGGTAATAGAGTAAATCGTTCTTGTATCTTTCGAAAATGTATCCGTTCCCTTCTATGTTGGTTTATGTTATAGGTTTGGTTAGTTGTAAAGGTTCCTGAATAAGCTTTTTGATACACTCGCAACCAGGCTTTTTGACCTGGCAAAACTGGACAAATGTATCCCCCATAAAACCCCCATAGGGCTTTTAAAACATTTTCTGTGTCTAGAAGAAAATAACTATCTGATCTTAGTCAGTACCATATCTAGTCCATTATCTCAAAACACTTAAAATACGCCAAATACAAAAATACGCACCCTGGTGTGTGTTGGTCGAACTTACAATTCTAAACTAATGTAATTTAAACGACCAACACACTTCGGTGGATAATTTAAGGTCTGCATTTTTCACATAGTTGAAAAACCACCTGTATAAAATATTAAGTAATATTTTCTTTCCGAATGTTCAGATCGTCCGTGACGCAAGTTCGGGGACATAACACGTAGCGTGGCGTAGCGCTGGACATTACGTGCACCGCTGTATATAACCGGCGAGGTACTCTGACCACGTCTAGTCCGACCACAGCATCCCGTCATGACTCTGTATAAGGTAACGTGTAAAATATATCTATCTACTTGTATACGATCATGTAAAAATGAGGTGTATGTATGTATTTTCTCCATGCAAAAATATGCTGAAGATTACACAGTTTATATCGATTAAGATAGGAACTTCCCTGAACTGTTTCACTACTGATTTGTAAAATTCTGAAGTCAATGTTTTGTGCCTATACTCTAAAAAATATATTAAATGAGGGACATCAAGTTGAGGTTTTGAAAGTGTTCAGTCATTGGTCTCCATGCAAACAAAAACAAGAACTACACTATAGTATATCTATTTGTTTTTTTTTTACTGTTTTGCATGTTATAAGGTTTACTGCAGTTTTAAAAATAATGAAATTATTTTTTTATATAATTCAGCACGCCTAACAGTTTACGAGAGATGCCGTTGATTTTATAGCTTAGTGACGTGATGTATACATAAAAGTATGCGAGTGTTTTCTAAAAGACCTCTTGGGAAAAAACCACCACTACTTACATTTTCCGTATGCAAGATGGTAGCATAAAAGAGTTTAGGTTCGGGCTACATAAGGTAGGTGAGGTAAGGCGGACTCCATACTCAACAACAAAGTTGCTTGGTATGCTTTGGTGTACAGTCGGGGTTAGTTTAGTTCTCTTACAAAACGCAAGTAAGTCTCTTTATTTCAGTTTATTACATCTATAAACATAGACTATTTCTTATTCTCATTTGCGAATCTTTCACTTTGATTTAAATTTAGAAAAGTTCAATAGTGGTGGTTATCTTCTTGAAATACGCAAATTTTCAAAAGTTCCAACTTATAATATCGTTCTGCCTCTAGTTTTTCATTGTTGTATTGTTGTTGCACGTGGTGTTTATGTCCAGGTATGGGTGGTAGGCCTGGCAGCAGTGTTGGCAACCTCCACCTCCTCCACGTTCGCCTGGCCTCAAGATGACGAGGATCACCACAGCCATGGCGAACACTCTCACCACGTCGACTACTACGTGAGTATTGCCAACCTTCCAACAACTAAATATTGATACTTCACTGTCACAGAATTAGGTTAGACAAGAAGATAGGCCTACTTTAGCAGCTTGTACCTAATCTCGTAGCCCTCAATCAGAATCAACACAAAAACTATTCGAATGATTAACAACAAATATAAAACACTAAAACAGCTTATAACAACATAACACTTTTCCTCCCCCTAAAACCTACTTTTTCCACTACATAACTCTTCTATTGCCATAACTTTTCTGGAGTTAATCTAAATGATATCTTTTTGATCACACATCACATACGCTAGACCTGAACCAAGTGCACAGTCTAAAACTTGTTAAAAATGGCAAAACTAACTTAATCAAATTGTGTGTTTAAGAACATATTATTCTGTTATTGATTGGATTACACTCGTATATGATTGGCAACAAAAATATGTTTGCAGTAGTCTTTAAAACGATTACTAGTTTATTATTTATAAAATGATACCGGTATCTCTCTGACTTAATTACGTTTGTTATCAATCAACAAAAGACTTCCAATATCACACTTTACTCTTTTCGATTTATATCAATATCGGTTTAAATATGAAATATCATTGTGAACTGATTTTCTCTGATAAATATAAATTGAAGTCCGAAAGATACGCATGACACAAATGAAAAATTATGGGATAAGATACGGCTTGAGGGAAATGTACCATTCATCTTCCTAATGTCAAATGTCAAATCCCTGTTAATAAAATCCACTATGTTAGTAATGTTGTACTAAATCATAACAAAATAATTAATCCCAAAGACCTAATTTACTACATATAAAACAAATTCTTGATTTAAAAGTACATTTTTTAAACATTTGCAAACTGTACTGTGAATTTTCCACATTGCTAAATGTATAGTCTTAAAGACAGAATTTACATACCTTCCATGCAAATTATAGTGGAGGTCTTAAGAAAGACAATCTGGAAATACCGCATCGTTAGCTATACTATTATAGGTAAGGCGCAATATCCAGGTGAGATATAATATATATTTTTAACACTCAATTAAAATCTTCATACGCCGAGCAAAACTTATCTTCAAAATATATCTTCCGTGGTTACCTTACCATGTTTTCCTCGCTTTTTGATGATAACTGGTTGGGGTGCGGGAGGGAATAGCAAATTAATTTTTATACTGTATTTACTTAAATGAATCCACTGAATAATGTCGAAGAAATACTTAGGTTGTCATATATGCACCTAACCCATCACAACACACGCTCTACAAAAACAAATGTCTTAAAAGTATTTAAATTTATTCATGCATTTATAAAGTATCATTTATTGTTCTCCAGGCTGAGCCGCACTACGCGTTCGAGTACGAGGTACACGACCCTCATACTCATGACGTCAAGAGCGCCCATGAGACTCGCAAGGGAGACACGGTCAAGGGATACTACAAGCTGGTGGAGCCGGACGGATCCGTGAGAGAGGTGATTAAATTAATCGATTCCAGATTTACCAAAAAGAAATATTGTAAAATCTTAAGCCAATTGTTATTTGAGCTTATTTTTAGTGGTGGTAAGTGTTCAAGGACTATTGCGGTAATTTTCCATTGCGATTACTAAAATACCCCCGTCGCAGCAAACCTGCATACTAAGCGAATTTCCATTCACCCGGCTTGATTTCTACTAAAATATTCCCTATAAATTTTCAGATTTATTTCCTATTTAAATAACATTAATTTTAGTGAGTAGTTAGGTTTGCTGCTACGGGAAAGATATTGAGGTGTGTTTTTTCAATTGAAATATTGATAGCTTAGTATGAAATAAGCCAAATTGCCAAATTTGATTGAAGTATATCCATAAACAAGCAAACTAGAACAGTTTATTTATTCTCCATAAGAATAACATGGGAATTTTAAATTTACAATTTCTTTAATTTTCTCCGTAGTCAATGAACATTCAAGAAAACTTCAATATACTAAATTATTTGTTTTTTTAAGCTCTTCAAAATGGTCTAGAGAGAAATTTAGAAATTTAAATTTTTTAGGGTCAAAAATGAGAAAAACCCATTTTTACCCTATAAAACCCCCCATAAACCCCTGATCCCATGGTCCGATTATGCTGGTTCACGAACTCGTTCGAATAAATGTAGGTTTACACGTTTGTACCAAATTTCATCAAAATCGGATCAATTTTGCTCGAGTTATCGCGCTAACGGACACACACATATATATATATATATATATATATATATATATATATATATATATATATATATATATATTAAAATCAAAACATATATAACAAAGTACCCTTTTAGTAATATTTTATTATTTTGTAATATTTAAAAAATATATAATGTTTTGATTTTATTATATTAGTAGCCCTAAAAATGCTATAAAATAATATATATATATATATATATATATATATATATATATATATGAATTTGAACGGATGGTGTTTTTGGCCTCTGGGGACCTCAAAACGAAAAAGTAAATCGGTCCCGGGTCTAGGTCTTACCATGAGACCTACGGTAATAGCTTATTCCCTATATGGGAAATTCGCTAAAAGTCTTCATCCTTAATGTTTTAGGATCTGTGATCTGATTCTAAGGCGAGAGCGTAAACGGAAATAACAAGGCTAGTACAAACCTAGCAAAAACTGTGAAATAATAAAATAAAAATTACAGGGAACTTATTCTTTGTAGATTTTAAGCTTTAACCTTAAGTATGCGACCATATTCTAGATTTAAAATTTGTTTATCAAATAATCGTGGTAGAACAAGTCCTTACAATCCCTTAAAAGCGATACGTACAGGGTGTCCACTGCTACTAGGTCAAACTTTACCATACTATTCGTTAAGTTTGTCCTAGTGGAAGCTGGACATTTTGTATATCTCGTTACGATTAGTTGTGTTCATATCAAATTAATATTTTTCTATATCTTCGGGGAAATCGTTCGTGGTTCGCGTATAATGAGCACAAACATAAAAGTACTTGTTAAAATACCACTAAAATACTTGAAACATAATATTTTCACTCAAAATGTCACTAGACGTATTTATGTTGACTTTCCGTACATTTAATAACATGCACAATGACGATGAAGAAGTTATTTACTACTTGGTGCATAGCAGTAAGATTCAAACGCACATAGCTTTTGACATCATACACGTAAAGAATAAACTGAACACGAGAATGAAGTAAAACAATATTTTGATGAGAGTAGGACAGAGGTGGCTGTGACATGGCGCAAGCCAGAAAAAAACTTTAAAAGTTCAAATAACAAAAATTTTGAATTTTGGCAAAATACAAGAAAGGGAATGTACTATGCAACCTAATCTATGAAGTAATCATGGATTATGGGACTGTTTTAAGAGTAATGTTTACCACTTGCAAAGTGGTGTCACTTAAATAATTTACAGGAAAGAATTGAAGCACGTTGAGCATTTTACTTGATGGCATACGTATTGGTCACTTATTAATTGTTTTTTCCCCTACAGTCACATGACAAAGTGGACTTCCTTGCACTGATTATAGCAAAACAAGTTTCTAATTGCTGCATCTACTTTTGGCCGCACTCTTTTTACTTTTTTCGCACACCAGAATTCCAACCAAACAACACAAAACGGCGTGCTTTTATTAGGCACGTAATCCGTGTACGCTTGAAAATAAGCTGGCAATTCTGAAAGATATTACGACTATGTTCAGCTGGTGCAGCGTTTCCCATTTAGTTCAATGTTTGGATTTACTAACCTATAAATGTTGTACAGTGTTTGAAACACTAATCCTACTAATATTATAAATGAGAAAGTTTGAATGTATGGATGTATGGATGGATGTATGGATGTATGGATGTATGGATGTATGTTTGTGACAAGTGAACGAGAAAAATACTGGTCGGATTGGGCTGAAATTTGGCATGATGATAGCTCACATTCCCGATTAACATATAGGCATATTCTTATTTCAAAAATCCTTTCGGGCTCCGCCCCAGTGGCTCTGGAGTTTCCCATGTTAACCTTATGAGAAATGAAATTATTGAATCTTAACATCTGTTTCTAGTATTAAACAAGTTGGTTCTGTTCTGTGGTGTTCAATAGCATTAAAGTTACAAAAACACAGGGTGCAGCACTATTATTTCTTTTACATTTATGACAACAGCTAATTTGCAACCAAAAGGTGAGTGAGCGTAGCGAACGAATACCACTTTAGTGACTTTGAATATTAGTATACTTTGAATACTTTAGTTAGGTTGTATGCTAACCTGGAGGCGAGTTAGCATAGCGAACGAGCTAACCTGAAGGAAAGTGAGCGCAGCGAACGAGCTCCAACCTAAAGGTGAGTGAGCGTAGCGAACGAGCTCCAACCTAAAGGTGAGTGAGCGTAGCGAACAAACTTCAACCAGGACGTGATTGAGCCATGCGAACGAGATAATCTTGAAAATTAAGAAGTTAAACGGGGCAAAGCCCGCGGGTTACAGCTAGTTATTTATATGCTTTATAGTAATTGTACGAAAATATGTGTAACACGAGAACAAACTGCCTTTGCTGCACTCAAGAAACTTTCCACACTGGCCTACGGCTCGCGCGTTACGTTTCTCTCGTGTGCAGCTAAGTGCCACTTTGCCCACTAGTTACACAAATAACTATAGTAGTTTATTTTTCAATGTTTATTTTGATAAGTAACAGGCATTATTTTTGAATACAGTAATCATGTAATTTACAAATGTATTGTGTTCGCAGGTTCACTACACAGCTGATAAACACAACGGGTTCAACGCAGTGGTGAAGAAGTCAGGTCATAACTCCCACCCGGGCCACTACGGCCACTAGTCAACATCACGTTCCTACAACACAACCTTCCAAGCCAAAACTGTAAATAAACTATCCTACGTTGACTGATTTGTTACATTATTATCTCCTATATCTTATCTTATCTTCTATAATATTAAAACGAAACAGGGTTTTTTTATTTCACGATTCTGAATCGACCACTCGACGGATTTTCATGATTTT